AGATGCCTATCTTGCGTTGCGCGAGCAATGTCAGGGCTCAAGGTCACTCGCAGCGGAGCGAACAATTGGAACTCAAGGTCACCCACGGCAGAGCTGACTTAATAACGCAGTGGGCTGTACGTTTTCATCCCTTGACAATGGCCTCGAGTGAGAGTCCGAAACGTCGGACAAATAAAATACTGGTCCCAGAGAGCGTCTTCCCGCCTTCTTCTTGTCTTCTGTTCTACTGATCGAAGTTCTATTATTTACTTAGCTACAAAACCTTGAGCTGATTTGCATTTAGTCAGTCTGACTGGCGGCAGGATCATTATAAACAGTGTACACGTAAAAGTTTTCCTGTGCTTATACAAGCACCTGTTTGTGTGTAACAAACGATTCTGCTTGTAAGTAAACTTTGCCGGCAAAGACACTTAAGACGAGAATGGCTATTCCTGGCTTGTTAGCCGTCATCAGTCTGTCATACCCAAGCCCAGGTGGTGCATCATCCAAAGCTCGACCCCGTGGCCTCTTGATTAGAGCTCCAGAGCTCTAACCATTGGTTTTTTATTGTCGAGATGTCCTCTGTCATTCCAGAAGTAGGGGACCATGTCCTAACCAGTGTACCCACTTCGCAAGCTAACATGCAAGGTCTAATATGATAAGAAAGTGTATTAAATATGAAGAAGTCTGTTGAGGTATACTAGTTCAGTTTACAGAGCAGCACGTAATTTGAAAAAAAGGGTGTATCGTAGCCAATTGGTAAAGTAACGAAAAGCATCAATGTCTGGTAAATCGCTAGCGACTGCCAATTGCCTACTTTTGCGAAACTTTACCTAATGGATAATCGTTTTTATTACTAGTTATGGAATTATTGAATATCTAGCCAACGTTCATTAAAACATTAACCCTAATCCTGCTGCTGGCCCTTATCCTAAAACTAACTAACGCTAACCAATCCAAACAGCAACCCTTAAACATTTTTAACGGTGACTTACCTTAATGCACCCCAAGCATATGTTTCTAGCGTCCCTACCCTTCCGCTCCCTTCTTCAAGGCAAATACCAAATGGTCCTAGTCCCAACCCTAGCAACTTGACCGTAACACATACAGTGACCTAGAGGTTGACTAATCTGATTATGACAGTATATTATATGCCTACTTAAGCAACATAAGTAGCCACGTTCATAATAATTAGAACGTTGTTATTATCATTTGGATCTTCACCGCAGTAACTCCAAAGCGGCCTATGAAGGGGTTGTTTAAGAAAGTATCTAGGTCTAGTCTAGTTTTTCGGGTCGTCAGAAAGTCTTTCCAGATATTCGAGACGTATTTTGTCAACCAGTTTGACTACTTTGACCGGCAGCTTATTTCTACCATCCATCAATGCCTTCCATCCAATGCCTTTACCATCCACTTGCCTTCTTTGGAAATAGTTTCCTTATCTCTTGAAAACCACATGGATAGGTACTTTTTCTGTTATATTCAACAAGAAGATTTTTCTCGTGACAAGCTTGACTTGCGTCCGACAAGAGATGTAAGAGTTAAGCAATTCCACCTGCACATATGCTCGACTAAATTGCACCTACGAGGTTATTATCTGTGGGTTTTTGGGCACATGGAAGACTTTATTTTCAACCAGTGATGCGCACAGTCCGTTCAGGTGTTCTCAACCAGTTTAAGGCATCTCCCTATGTTATTAATGCGGCTTTTTATTAGTGAATTTGCGTCCTCTTGGGCTGCAGTTTGGATATATTTTTTGCTGCATGGGTCGCTAACCCCAACCGACTTCTAGAGCGACTCACTCCCTTCACATTTAAAATTGAATGTGATCTCGCCATTTTCATACTCGACACACAAACAAAAGCCGTTCCTTATGGCTAAATCACTACGCAAGCATCACCCCCGTCTTCGAAACGATGGGTAGTAATATCTTGCTCTGTGTTCCCACCTAAATTTGCGGTATTAAATTTTTCCGCGTCCAACAAGATGGCGTAAGATCATTTTACAAGACCATGCACTTGAAGCCGAACCTAATCACCGAACCTAGGTCCCTACCACCGTATGGTCGGTTTAAGCAGTTGTCCCGTTCGCTGAGCTATCCCTTCCTCAGTGCTTTCTGTTTTTTTCTCTTTTTCAGTTCTGCTGTTGATGAATCAGAGGAAAAACACAGGCGTACGTCTACTACCAAGTCCCCCCTTCTTGGCACTGCCGCACATCCGCTTACGATAGTTAGTCGGAAAACTTCTGGTACGCGAGTTGCCTTGTTCCCCCCCCCCTGCCCGATGCGAGCTGTTTGCGATGTACGTGACGCACCCACTATTGCATCAATTGATTTGACAACTCGCTCAAGTTCTAGCAGCATACTGCCATATGCTTTTGAGCAAGGATGTAATATGTAATTTACCTGGGAAAGTAGAACAGGAGACTCCGATAAAGCGGAAAGGGGGACAATATGACAGATGAGAGACACTGAGATTGCTGGCATTTCTAACATACGTTTGTGTAGTTACTCCAATCTTTTGCTGGAACAGACGCATAATATGAAATATGCAAATGGGCTGAAAATAGGAAATCAATAGTTATTGTAGAGGGCAAACTTAACACTGATCTTAACCCGTTCCCTTACCCTAACCTTCAATCTAAACTTAATCTTAAGCTATACCTTCGGCATTATATGAAACTTGACCGTAAGCATGACTGTAATATAACATGCCTACCTAAATCGCTTAAGTAGGTATATTATCATAATAACAATACTAAGCGGTGAGCCTCGACAAGTAGCAGCGCTCTTCTATCAGACACGTGAGAGTCGTTGAATTTACCTCACGCCGACTTCTGTGCGCGATCTCAGTCGTAGCTGACTTTACTTACTATTTCGTGGACCCTCGACGGGAACAAGAATTAGGTTCGCTCTCTACGGCTTTTCATTTCTACATTAAAACTGATGGCTTTTTAAAGTACTGCGGCGTCTTGATAGGCGCCACTTCCAATAGACTAGAAATCAGCTTCCAATGGATTCTTCTTCTTACTATGGCATTTGAATAACTCTCTCCTTTGACATTTCAGTGAACTATGTCTGTTCGTGTGGGTTAA